CTACATGCCCATTCATTATGGCAGGACAGCAGGCATCACAGAGTCTGCAATGACGTGGCCCAGCACATATGCCCCCCCCCTGGAAACACCTAACAGAACAGGTGCCACCTGCCCACAACACAGACTGCTCCACTGTCCTCATTAAAAACCCTTGACTTCCCATCATGCTTTGCACAATGTGCCATGCCTAGGCACTCCCAGGAAGATGCGATCATCTAATGGGGAGGGGAGGGGAGGGGGGGGATTTGTCCTGGGGAGTCTGTTTTGTTAGGTTCAATGAGAGAAGGCGGGGGGAGAAGACAAGGGTGGGCGGGTCCTTTCCTCAAAGCGGGCAGCACCACATGGCGGGCCGCAAGTCACAGACGTAAGGGACAACCAGGGCCCCCAGAAGGGGCCTCAAACCAGAGGTGGGCCTTCCGAAGGGGGGGGGGCAGCCTCACGTCCGGTGGAAGCGCAGCAGGGGGGCTCCTGATGAGTCAGTGTCCATCTCCTGATGGTGAGGAGATGCCAGTGGGGAGGTGGATGAGGCAGCTGTAGGGAGACAAGAGACCGTCGGTACGGCAACCGGAGGCGGCTCATGACAGCAGAGTCGCCTCGGGAGACGGCGCCCTCCCCCCCGACAAGACGCCCCGGGGCTCGGCACTCCGCCGCCACGTACGTTACGCGTCCGTGGGCATCCGAGGGAAACATGAGCCTCCTGCCAGATCGCCGAAATCCCCGCGCTGTCACCGCGGGCAGAGAGCGTCGCGTTCCCAGGCATACGACACCGAGTGTTTCACGCGGAGCGCGCGGCGGAGTCATGTATCACGCAACGGCGGGAGTCACGGTTTTGTGGGGGGGGGCATCATTAAGCCGCAGGGCGGGTACTTCCAGTCGCACCTCTGATCTCGGATATCAGAGACAACCGGAGAGACAGAGCCTGGAATGCGAAGGGGAAAGCAGAGAGGATGCGACGATCTCCTCACAGGCCTGGGGGCCCTGGCCAAGACCCCCACCCACATCTGCCACAATGGGCCATTGTCAAGTCCCTGCCCCCCCCCCTACAAACATACACACCAGCTGAGATTCTCCAGTCTATACGGTTGTAATCAAAACCCACACACATTCTAAAACGGTTATGCTTCCAATACAACCACACTTTAAACAGTTAAATAAGTCACTGGTGCAGCCCGTTTTACTCGATCCGCGCCTTGGGAGAAGACGGATGAGAACCTTCACACTCTGAAGTCCCACATGCAGGCATTTAGAGGACCACACCGCCGGGAAGGAGCATAAAGGCGCGGCCTTGGAGCCCAAAAGGCTGCCGTGTGCAGACAGAGCACCATTTACTTATTTGGGGGGGGTTTGACAGCTTTATCCGTCTGCCCCCTGCCCCAAGACGAGGACGAGGGCATTAACGGTTCATGCCACAAGACAATCAGAAGCCGCGAAGATTCATCCCGGTGACTTCCATTCAATAGTCTGGTCCTGCTGTGGCAGTCACTGGCTTGAACACTGGGAACTGGAAGCAGATCCTCCCCCCCCCCAGAGCCTACAGGCTTTGGGTGCAAAATCAGGGTCTTTGCTTTGTGTAGAATACCAGCATCTCTCGCCGGCGTTTCAGAACACATTCCATCACGTCGTCTTTCACACTCAAAGACCAGTACTGTAGCTTCCCTGCCTAATGAGCAAACGCTGAGAAAACATCACAGCCCCCAAGATGATTTTGCTGTTGGATTCACAGCTCCTTTTTAAAACTCCCATCCTTCAAGTCGTGTCGAAGACTCATAGATCTTTTTTTTTTTTTTTAATAAAGTCCAAAAAGACAACATTGCATTTAGAGATACCGAATTCCTCTGGTAAGACGAGCACTGACAATTTTGATTTATTTTGCACCCAGTATGACATTTTGCTGATGCTTGCTAACATGCCCCAGAAAATTCAACCTATCAGCTTGAAGTGTCCAAGCCTTTTGTTCTCAAAAAGAACTGCATTTGTGCTAAATTTTGACTGCTTTAAAGTAAGATTCCTCTTCTTCAGAAAATGACACAGATGTCACAGAAATGTCATTATAGACACACCCATTTCTTTTTTACTGCAGTGCGAGTAGAATATTCTAGAATAAGAACGATGAAAGCATAATATGAACACGACTACAGTCACAAAATGTTTGGGCCCTGTTACTTAATCTCCTTCTGCTTAATCCCAACCTTTGTGCTCAGAGAGGAGGGGAAAATGGCCGCAAGGTTGATATGAGCTTTGCTTTAATTATGACATCATGTGGCCCTAATCAGGTGACCAATAGGTGATACGCAGGCTGAGAAAACTCACCTCGCCCACTGTGCCTCAGCTTTCTGGCCAGTTCATCCGACTGCGTCTGTTCCGAGACTTTGACCTCCGGCTCCGCTAGACGGAAGAGAAAGGACAGGAAGCTGACATCCTCCACAACACAACAGGGGGAACTTCTACTGCGGGAGCTGAAAGCGCATCTTAGGAAACGGGCGAGATCCAGACACCTGACATCAGGATGCCTTTCTGTAAACGACCAGATCCTACTTAGAATGGACAGAAAACCCAGGAGTGACTGCAGCACAATATGAAGCGCGAGCCGTCAAAGCGTAAAGCAGAGAGACAGCCGAATTATTTTTCAATAAATCCTACATTCGTCTTGTTTGTTTTTTTTTTTCCTTTACCAAAATTCTACCTGCAATTCAGGTACAGAAAACTACCTTTCATTTAGAAAGGGGACAGCTTACTTAAGGCTAGACGTGGCAGCTAATGTAATGCTATGGTCATGCACTTATAACCTGGAGGATTTTAGTTCAAGTCCTACGCTGGGCCTTGCTGTGCTGCTTGTGAGAACCTGGACCCTCCATTGAAGTATCCAGCTTAGTTGCTTCAATTAAAAAATAAAAAAAATCAGCCAGGTTTGCAGTCTCCTATCTGATCATTTTACAACAACATTGAACCTATTTTTATACTAAACATAATTCAAAACTCAAATTATTGCTATGCAATGCTTATATATAAACAAGCGACAGAATGATTACAGATCATTAGGACCCAGATTAAATATAATCTTTTTTCTAAATGAAATTCCATCTTACTATCGTTGCTATTGAAGGTGTCCGTCATGGTATCATGGCCACTATCAGAGATGGTTTTGTCCCGCCTCCCATTGACCCGTGACCACGCCTCCTGGGGGGCGGGGTCTCTGTCCCTGAGGACCTTGTTCTTGCGGGTGCTGATGCGAATGACGCCCTGCACCAGCCGGCACTCAGCCTCCTGCTCCTGTAGATTATAGTCCTGGGCGATGCTGTTGATGAGGTCACTGATTTCGTTGGTCCGCCGGGAGAACGAGGAGTCTGAGGTGCACTGGGCCAGCTGCTCGATCTGGTGCATCTTATACAGTTCCAGAAGCTTCCGCTGAATCAGCGTGTCGATGTCCGTGCCACTGTCGCTCGGGTCGTCCAGGTACAGGTCCTCTCGGGAGTAGATGCTGGTGTTACTGATGGGCCGCGGTGTTTCACCCTTTGGGGTGGCGCCGGGGGGTCGGGCCCGGCGCGAGGCACTTGGGCCATCCGGGTAGCGCACCTTCTGGCCGCCGATGCGCACGTCGCGGTACGAGAAGCTGTCGAAGGCGGGCAGCTTGACGGACTTGCTGGGGGGTTCCAGGGAGACCCCGCAGGTGGGGTTGCTGAGGGACAAGCCGTTGGAGGTGAAGTTGCTTGCGTACATCTCTGGGTCCCTCTTGCCAGAGGAGGTGGTGGCGGTACCGACTCCCGGCTCGGGGTCAGTGGAGGACTCGTCCGTGGTGCGGCAGGGCTTGGGGGCGCCGTACAGGCCGCAGGTCAGCATGCAGCACACAAACGCCAGGCAGCCGCTCCAGCCGCTCAGGGAGCCGCAGGGCCCGCACGGAGGGGGCGGCACGGCCGAGTCCGCAGAGCCCGGCACGAAGCCCAGAGTCTCCGCCCCGCAGCCGTTGACGATGGGGGGGCGGGCCTTATGCGGGTACCGGGGATTAGACGGCCTGGGGAGCTCCACGCGGGGCTCACGCTGCGATTCCCGGGCGACTTTGCCATCCTTGTAATACAAGGGTGCCTGGCGGTAGCCCGCGGTTTCGGGGCGGCTCACGTAGCGTGGATGGGGGCGGGGGTTGGGGGGACCCCGCGTGCTGCGCCCAGGCATGGCTCAGCAGGTCCAGAACCTGAGGGACCAGAAAAAAGACAATAGCGTCAGGGCCGGTCGACCCGCTAGGCTATGGAGTCCCAACCCCCGGTACCGATCTGGGGTCAGTATTCCACCCCCACGTTCGTGCATTCAGATTATTAATATGGCTGTCAGAATCATATAAATCATATACAGCCATGATGTAACACTGTGAATTAACTTTTACATACAACGTTTTGGCTTGTTATTTTTGTTTCTGGTGTTCCTATTTAATTTTGTTTTTGTTGTTGACATTAGTAAAATTTGCTCATTTTTTTGAGACCCTCCTTCCTTCCCTCTCACTCATTTATGCTCCCCAGGAGCTCCCCATGGCCTCAAACAGCACTGAATACTACAAACCATTTGTAAACATGCTGCCATTACTTAAAGCAGCGTTTCCCAACCTGGTCTTCGCAACCCACAGCTGGTCCACATTTTTGCTCCCTGCCAGCTCCCAGTAGGGAGCAAAAATATATACTGCCTGTGGGTCCGTGAGGGCTGGATTGGGAAACACTGATTTAAAGGATAAAAACATGTTCGTTTGTCACAGCCTTCCTTTAAGATCATCACTGGCGCCATGGCATTACGATCTGATTGGCGTTTTTCCACTGTGAACCCAAACATACCAGGAAGTCAAAGCTCTGCAGTATACCAGGAATCCAAGCCAGAGAAGAACCGCCCAACCAGGCCCTTTAAAAGCTACAGAAGACCTCCAGTAAGCACTGCAAAATTCACACACACACACACACACACACCCTTTTATCTACAGCGCTTTATACAGCTGCTTTTACATTATGTTTAAATTAAAAGCCCAATGCTCATTGAAGTACATGGCTGCTTTTAACCAAACAGAATCAACGTGGTTTCGGCAATGCGATGTCATCTGGGCCGTGATGGCCTTTTCAGTACCCGTCTGTATAACGTCCCCGAGGTCCTGATCACAGCTACTGTCCACAGTAACGCCGCGCGATTGGTCAGCCGGACTAATTCAGTTACTCACATGCTTTGCAATGCACTGCACGCATCTTTAAATATTGTAAATTAATGTGCGTATTCATATACTTCTGTTATATTGTATATTAATAGTGACAGTAAAAAGAGCAACTTCCATATTAAAAAAGCAACTTCCATGTTAAAACAGCAGTCATCGCCTTTATTAAGACTCACACACTCACCACAATACAAGCCCTCTGTATGCTTTCTATGCAGCAGATACACATTCTGCACCCTCTAGGGCTGCGGCGGGATATAAAACAAACAAGGTGACAGCGTCATTTTAAGTATGTGACGGATTGTTCTCGCCGGCATATTTGATTTCATTTTGTCTGAACGTCGTTTGAAGTGTCGGGCCACCTTAAGCCGAGAAGAGAGGCTGGCTGAGCGAATTCCCAGTGCCGCTTGGCACCAATGACAAGAACGGCAATAATCATATATTTCAACTCCGAAATGCGCCTGTACCTGCCAATAATATCCTTCGCAATATTTACTGCGTGCATTTCCTGCCAGTACAACAGTGACAGAATATTTTGAAAAAAAAACAGAAGCGTCGACAGGTGATGAACTATCCCTGCCAGGACAAACAGACCAGTTAACTGGGAGGAATTGTGCCACCCTACTGCTTATTACATGTCATAATGCAGTAAAAATGGAGAGAAAGGCTGGACGTTTACAGAAAAATGAGGAGGAGATGGAAAAGAGGGGTAACACCTTCAACTGAATCTTGGAAACTATTCTGCACAAGTCATCTAAACTGGATCCTTCGTCAAAACGGGGTGGATCCAGGTTAAAAAAAAAAGAAAGAGGAAACTCAATCAATGCAGGCACCCTGTCGGTTAATCTGTGAGATGACTCAGAATTTTCTCCAAAATTCCCCCGAGTACTATCCGACCAAACCCTTCGCTACAGGTGGGACAGCCCAGCGTCAGCAGGGACTGTTGAAATGACGGCAGTAATTCGTCACGCAACCGTACCTGTTTACTTCCTCAAAAACTGCTACCATCTGACACAGAAGGCAGCCGACTTGCCACAGACATATGCGGGGGTGCACACGTGTGCACGCAGTGCGCCACACTCCCCGCGACTGCGTGTGCGCGCTGGGACTGGCTGATGCGGAGCCAAGGAAGTCAAGGAAACTGGACCCAGCCGTGAGTCAGCCAACAGGTTAATCCAAACTGCTTTCCAGTTCTCAAACCAAACAAAACAGGTACAAGCCATACCTGCTTACCCCAGGCTACTCACAAATCAGCTTGCTGGGACCCAGAATCCAGAACGTAAACGGAAGCCAACCTGCCGGCTCGCACATGCAGGATTATCCTACAGAAATCATGCCAGTGTCCCGACCCCGGACTCCAGTCACGAAAACATGGAGAACCTCAGAGATCCTCCACCTTTGGCTCTATGGAATCTCTCCCTCCAACGACCCCTATAAGAGAACCATGTCACCATTAAGAGAACAAAACGCCGCAGATTGAAGGAAGTGTCTCTTTGGAAACTTTCCAAAATGTCGCCAGTCATGTAGGCCCAGATCCTACCTGCATCTTCTTCATTCTTTCACGTTCTTTCATCACCCAACACCCTTCCACACTTAACGTATGAACAAGTACTCTGGACCAGAGGTGGAGATTTCAGGTTCAGAGAGTACAAATCCAGACCAAGATTTTGTTGAGTACTCTGTGACTGTGACTCTTTATACTCAACTGGTTGGTCAAAACAAAATATTGGTCTGGATTTGTACTCACTGGACCTGAAATCTCCACCTCTGCTCTGGACTAACGTGTCCTACGAGGGTACCGGAACAGATGTGGTTTCTTCTCCCACCACCACAATTAGATAGAAGTTTAACCACAAAGACCAAAACGTCTTTCCAGAACTCAAGTTCCTTTTAGGAACACCTAAACACCAAGTTAAATCCAATTTTTTTTTTTAATAAACACAGCCAGACAAATCACTGCACAGGCAGAAGGTGGCTCTCAACCCCATTTATGTTGTTTTCTACTCAAAAGGCAAATTTTACACATCCCACGAAAATCAGGGCAAAATTCTCATCGCCTAACATGTTTAGGCCACGACTGAAAGGTAACATTAGCTAAAAGCGTAACACAAGCCAGGCTCCGAATGAGTCAGAGGCTGGGTTATTACTGTAATGCAACTGTCCAGCATACAGCAAGATAAAAGGCAGCATGAAGATAAGCATCGAACAACACAGATCAAGTCACAGTTTTTAACCCCCACCCCACCCCACCCCCAGGAATTCCTTCAAGGCTGGGGGCCACTTACAGAGTATTTCAGAGGCTTCGGTAATGACTCATCAAACCTGCAAGATGACTGAGGAAACAGGGAAACTTACACCATCTACAAAACACTGCAGATAGAACTTTCTGCATAATCATTATTGCCATGATCTTCAAGCAAATGTTTGCATTTTATACAGATACATTTGTAAATGCAGCACTAGATTCCCATGCTATGTTATAAGATACATTTAAAAGGTACAAGGACGGTAAATGAATAAAAGCGATTTCAGAAAGAGGGATAGCAACTAGATAGCAGGATATTGGAAAAAAATTCACATTGTGACATTTTAAGTTGCCATTTTTATGAAACAAAAAAGGAGTCAGAATTTACCAAAATAAAACTATAGCCAAATATAACTTATCTACCAATAGATTAAAGCAGTCCCGACATCTCTCGTTTTTGCTCAACGCCAATCGCCACGGAATCCAAAATATTTCCCTACAGCAGAAAACTATTGTTGTTCAGTGATCGGATCTTCACTTCTCTCCTTTTAACTAACTTCTGTGAAATTTCTCACAAATGCAGGTCTGACTGATTCAAACAGCAAGGATGAAAATGATCGGCCCAGAAGTGCATGCAGTGCCCATACAAACCCAATGAGGGAAACGTTAGCTTTCACTTTAATATGCAGGTGGGAAAATGTAGCATTATCCTGATAGAGAACAATCATTAAAACTGCAAAGCTTGTCAAGTTTTATTTCCTATAACAGAGTAAAAATGTTTCAGAGCAACTTCTCACCTTAAACCACCTGACTATCGCAATTAACAAGTGCATAACAAAGAGAGAGAAGCCTGTCTCGAATTATCGAGGTCAAACGTTAACCGACCGGCATCAGAACACAGCACTGAAATACTTTGTTACATAATGCAATTAAAATTTAATAAAGATCAACGTATTTAGCCACCCTGCCATTGTGATTTAATTGGTTATATATAATCCATCCCGTTCTCTAAAATCATGATGACAATCTGCAGGCAGACAGCTGGATGCTGACTGGCTTAAATGTATTCAAAGCCGTTCATCATCTGAGTGACACGGATTTGCTTAAGTGTCGAACCTCTATGAGATGTTCCAAGCAAAGGCGGGAAAAATAGTATTACCCATCAAGCCTGTCCCAGGCAGCACACGGCTGGGGTGCTCCCTGGATGGAACGTCAGTCCATCACAGGGTACACGCACACGCACACACACACTCACTCTGCCCGGAGAAAACTTTCAGGCCATGGAGACAACAAGCAAACTCCACCTGTACCATTAACGGGCTAATTATTTTTTTAATTTAGTTACTCATAGTCGAAAGACACACATTTTAGGTGAATTGGCATATCACATTACGCATAGAGTGAGAACGCCGCTACAAACGTTAGAATTAGCAGGGATGTGCAGACAAGGTGTGGTGCTCCACAGACGAGGTGGTTTATGGTGGGTAACAGGAGCTCCAGAGTCAGGACAAACCCAGTCACCAGTAAGGGCCAATGCAGTGTCCTTCTGGGCCAGGCCCTGCCCATACGGTAAACCTTACACCTTTAACACCTCGATTGTACTGGATATCATAAACATCCAATAAACAGTTTCTTAAATATGAGAGAAAGATACTGTATTCTCCATTTGTACCGTTAAATAGGATTTCTTACCATTTTCACTGATTCCTTCTTACCCTCCGTGAAACATGAGCCCTCCCACAGGTGAGGGAGTCTCTGGGGGACGGAGCGGAGGTTCAGTGATTTATCCAGCACCCCAGGAACAGGTTCTGGGGATAAGGAGCTTGGACACGAGCCCAAGAGTGACAAGACGGCTTTTCCAGGCTCAGGATTCAAACCAGCGACCGGACACAGACCCTCAGAGCCAGAACTCCCCACCTTCGAAGGTGTGGGTGAGACCACCTCAGACGGGACAGTCAGTTTGTTCCACCTCCCACCCACATGGACTGGCTAACCTGCTCTTTCCAGCCATTTTAATTTCTGTCCCATGTTGCTCGCACCTCTGTTCAGACCATATACAGCCTAAAAAGGGGACCCCCCCCCAATGTCGAAGACCCCACGGCCACTCTGACCAGTCTACCATCCCAACCACAGCGATGCCCGCAGCATCCCAGCGTATTCATGCTAG